AGGAGGCAGTTTTCTTTATTGCCTTGAACAAATTATTTTCAATGTAATTAAAATAAGAAATTGCCATAATTTAGGTGGTGAATGGAAAATTCACCACCATGTTATGATATGCTTGAAAATGCATGTCAAAATTAGCTTACTCGAATGCATTACGCATTATTGTTGTTAGGCTTCTGTATGTAAATATGTTGAAGGGTCTGTCACAGAGTGCAGACAGTTTGTCCAGAAATTTTTGATGCTTAAAACTTCCATTATATTTGAAAATTATGTAAGAATATTTTAGAAAGATTGGCGGGAGAGAGTGAGATCCCCACCAGTAGATTGAGATGTGTTACGTAACACTTCCAATGGTGGACTGAAAGAGGGTAGCCATGACACAAATGTATGTTAACCAGTTACTACATGTAAGATTAATATATTACTTGTTTTTATGTGGACATAAATACAGACTTATATCAAATGTTTGTCTGATTATATGAATGTTAAAAATCTCTAAACTATTTTTAAAACATTTATAATAATTTTTGTTTTCTGAATCAGTTCTGCTTATTCTACTTCACTTAATTATATTTTATATGATGATACAAGAGACTTGAAATATCTGCTCAAAACTAAAATGTTATGGAATTTCAAGGAAAAAATCATGTTGGGTCCATAATTATAGTAGGAAATTATGCCCTAGAGTAAGTTTTGCATTTCAAGAACTAGGACTATGATCCCTATTTCAACATGGATCGTGATGTGGAAGAAAAAAATGTATAATTCCACGAAGTTTATTGTAGAATACATAAGTATCTGAGATAAGGCATGGTTTAAGTTTTACATCACAGTCTCAGCCTTAACTCTCATCTATGCAAGTGAAACATGAGTCAGCGCAGAAAGAAACAAAAATAAATCCTTGTGGCAGAAATTAAATTTCTGCAAAGTGCATTAGGTTGCTTGCTACTCAACAAGAAAGGAAACTAAAATAATGAAGCTGCTAGATGTTAAATAACTGTATGAAAACATTCTGGCAAATAAAGCTAAATGGTATTATCACATAGCAGGAAGAGGGGTGCCCAGTGAAAACCAGGGACCTGAGGCAGTTGATCCAAGGGGCCTCCTCATTTCAAACAAACAAACAAACAAACCAAAAAAAAAAAATTCCTCCTCCCCAATCCATAAACAGAATACACATCTCCATGCGTCTGAAATACCTTATAGCATTAAATTTGGATTAAAGATAATTACATTTTTAATTTCTTTCGAATGAGAAGTTTGGGGTCGCAATTAAATCGTGGTGTGGAGCAAGTTGCTCCAGCTCCCCCCCCCCCCTTCTGGTCGCCCCTGAACAAGAATGTCAGGAAAGTGACTTCATTTGTGACTGTGAACACAGATCATTGAACAGTGTTTACTGAGTCAGAATTACGTTCAAAAGGAAGTATTTTTATTTACCGCCAATTCCATACAGACCAATTGTTGTGTTGCAAGGATGGGTTTTTGAATTATAAAATTGTATTAATTGCACAAGCACACAAAATAAAGAAGGTTGTCAGACCCAAGGCTTTGACGCATGTTTCTCTATTTACGTTAAAGCGCTGAATCCGAATCTAAAACCAGAATTGCTGCGCCACCACCCTCCAGTTTCTTTTTTTAAATTGCGAGAAAACAGAGGGTTTTTGGTTTGGTTTCTCCAGAGGTTATTAAAACACGAAGACTTGAAACCTGTCGACGCGCTGAATCCGACCCCGACCCCGAGCCTATAATTGCGCCACCACCCTCACGTTTTGTTTTGTTTTTTATCGTGAAAAACTCATCCCAATTTTAGATGTTGGTGTCTTGTAGCATTATACTCTATAGAAGTCAAAAGTTGTCAGATTCAAGACTTGATACATCTTTCTCTACGTATGTCGAGGCGCTAAATTTGAATCCGAAGCGAGAATTGCACCACTATCTTCCAGTTTTCTCTTTCTTTCTCTCTCTCTTTCTCTCTCTTTCTCTCTCTCTCTCTCTCTTTCTTTCTCTCTCTCTCTCTCTTTTTTTTTTTTTTTTTTTTTTTACTCGTAAATCGCGAAAAAACACCGTGAAGTTTACAGATTCTTGGCGCAATTCTGGCTGCACATGCGGATTTGAGTGTCGACATACATAGAGAAAGTGCCAAGTCTTTGGCCTTGGCAACAACCCTCGAAAATAAGAAAATACAATTTCAAGGTGGGGAAAGGTTCGCGATTTAAAAACTAGTGGTGCTAAAACCACGTACTTTCTCGCCCGGACTCACACGCAAAAAGTATCAAATTATCAATATATTACCTTATTTCAAAATCAAACTTTAAGGAACATATTATTAAGAGAAAAAATCTCTATTTTCATATTTGTAGTTGTATGAACTGCAAAATTCAAAATGTTTGAATTTTTTGGATTTTCGAAAAGTCAAGACTTTCCAAAAAAAAATGAAAGCTGCATCATTCTCTTAAACGTCCTGCACACTATCGTATTTCTATCCTATGCTACGCTATCCATGGATATTTGTAAAACTGAATTAGTAACTATTGAAGTTCACGCATGGGGGATTTAATTTGTAAGCAGCCTCGTGCATTGATATTGTTGATTAAGATTTATCTGTCAAAAGAAACTCAAAAAAGCATTAGGACAATTAACAATACTTGGGTCATCTGATTCAATAATTACATAATTATACTGCGTAAATGATTGCGAGAAAGTAAAACTGGAGGGTTGTGGCGCACTTCTTACTTCAAATTAGGATTTAGCACGTCGACATACATAAGAGAAACCTGTGTCTTTGGGTCTGTCAACAACCCCCGAAAACAAAAAGCAATAATAATAATAAAGTCATGGTGGTTTTCGCGATTTAAAAAACTCCTGTAGGGTAGTTGCGCAATTCTGAGCTTTCGATTCAGCGCGTTGAGAAACGCCAGTCAAATCTGCGGATATGTTAATTTTCTTTGTGTGTGTGTGTGTGTGTGCGCGCGCGCACGCGCCGGTGTTATAAATTACTAATTATAAAATTAGTTAATTCTTGTTTTTCCATTGCATCATTGAAAGATACTGTGATGTGTGAAGAATTTGAAAAATTAAAGTTCTTGTGTTAGTGTATTTGCATGTTCCAATAAATGTTCCTATTAGTTTCTGAAATACAGTTCATGCATCATATATTTCACTTTCAGGATCAAGTGTGAAATAATTAAGAAAAGCTGTACAGAAGACAAATTGTAAAAATTTAAATCATTGAAAGATCATGGTATGCAGGCATGGTTAGTGTAATAGGATTCTTTTTATATTTTTTATTTTAATTGCTTAT